GCCGGTTGGTCATCTGGTACCATGGTTAAATATGGCCAGTTGTTTGTTTAGAGATTAAAAGTTACATGATATACCGAACAGATGTATACTTTTACAATTAAATTTACAAAGTTCTATAAGACAAGGAAAGCTACTGAAAGCTTGGAAACTAGCCAACATTACACCCTTATATAAGGGCGACAGCAAGCAAAACCATCTAGACTGTAGACCAATTTTATTAATCAAGGCATTATGTAAAATGCTTGAAGGGATAATTAGGAAACGATGGGTTGGAGTAGTAATTAAAGACAACATGATATCAAACAAGTAGTTTGGCTTAAGGGAATGTATGTTATGTGGAGCAAATCCCTTGTTTTTTTTTTGTTTTTTTTATGACAGATCAGAAATATTACAAATAAGAGACGGTTCGGTGGATTGTAAACATTTAGTGTTTAACAAGGAGTTTGATAAAGCATCATACATAAGGCTAGTATGGATTTTGGAATACAGAAGTGTAGTGAAAAGTAAACTTCTCGGATAGACATAAGACTTCATTCATCAAATAAACAAATGAACACTCTACATGGGGTAACTAGCAGAGTGCCATAAAGATCAGTCTTGGCGCTTATCATTATATAATTTTCATCAATGATTCAGGGCCAGACACAAGCCCAGGTAGCTATGTGAATATGTTTGCAGACGACACAAGGAAGGTTAATAGAAAATGTATACTGTCAGTGCCTCTAGAGGGACCTTGGAAACTTATTCATGTGGAGTTGTGCTTGAAATATAAACTACAAACACCAATATATCCCATGTAGTTAAGTTCAGAAAGAGGGATAAAGACTTTGGGATAATCACAAGCAGAAATTGAAGCCTGGGTAATCATATAAACATAAATGCAAAAGGTCTATAAAAGTGCTAGGACTGATAGCAAACATAAAGGTGACATTGTTATGTGTGGACGAAGCTATGGGAAAGAAGATAATTCAAACCACCATGAGGCATATTATAATTATCGATGCAGTAACATGGATCCCGCATTAAAAAAAAAAAAAAAAAAAAAAAAAAAAAAAAAAAAAAAAATTAAAGAGCAGCAACAACGGCACTATCTCTAAGAGATTTCACATACGAAAACAGACTACATTTATTTGGATGAAAGAAGGGAGAGCGGCGACATGATTATGTTGAACAACTTTTTACAGGAAAAGTGAAGTCCAATTAAGACGCATTTACGATTAAGAAAACAAGAGAAACGAGTAGACACTGTAAAACTTGAAAGTAAGAAGATTCGAAAAGGATATCAAAAAGTTCAATTTTCCAAACATGACTATTGAAACATGGAGCAATGTCTTTAACAGCCTTGAGTGTACCAAAAGTGTGTACGAATTAAAATGGTAATATGATCATTGCAATATAGCTGACAGAACCCCCTGAGCTTACCTCTTTTCCCTTACTGGAACAGCTTTAGGCCTTTTTTGTAACATCCCGAAACCCCTAAGACTTTGATTTATCGTTTCAAGTTGTATCATGATTGCTACAAAACACGATATCAAGTTTTGAGAGAAGTTATTTTTCTTAATTTCACATAAAAACAGTAGAAACACGTTAAAGTACAAAGTATGTTGGTTTGATTTTTAATTACAAGCAAAACATTGTGGAGGCTTCATATAAAATACTACTTTGCAGCTTCTATTGTTTATAGACATCACTCTTCGCTCTGCAAGGCTGTGGAAACATTTTAATGCATTTCTCAGATCCAATCAAAATATATTTTTTTTCTTACTGCATATATTGTTATTCAATTCGGGAAGTTGCATAAGGTTTTGGATCTGAAAATATCCATCGCGAGTGAGCTCCGTGTCTAAATCAAACAAATGGATGATGACAATGATCACGGACATTTATTCTTGACTGAATTATATCAACAATTGAAATTATACGGCCTTCTCTTTGATAGTTTTGTAAGGTTATATCATATAGGTATAGGATGATTTGAAAGACATTCATCCGACCGAAGTTAATGCCACATAATGTGACTCGGACACGTTGAAAATACTTACCATGTCTTCCAGCGACCGCCATGATTGACTTCAAATTTTACCCATACAGAGTGAACATGTATTTGATGTACTACTAAAAAGTCACAGAAAAACTTCATGCATATTTATACAAAAATTCTGTATCAAGAAACGATGCACTTCGTAATTAATGAGAACATGAATCCCTATCTGAAACTACGTGAAATAAGTTTGAAAAATCTATCGCTCTGACTGGCTGGCCGGGGAGAGTATCACATTGTATCAAGGTCAGAGGCACACAAATTAATGCAAACGGTAAAGATGTTTCAACAGGTTCCAATATTGCGCGTGGAATGGGCAAACATGTATCAAAGTATTAGGGGTTTCGAAAACGCTGCAAAAAAAAGACCTTAAATAAAAACTCACCCGCAATTTCTAAAAACGATATCAGAATTTACACACAAAACGAACGAACCGTTTTAGTGTTGGTCTTCCTCAAA